TCATGGCTTTTGCACCACGATAATGCGCCTGCTCACACTTCATTGCTTGTTCGTGAATTTTTGGCCAAAAACGAAACTGTAACGATGCCTCAGCCTCCATATTCGCCAGATATGGCTCCATGTGACTTTTTTCTATTTCCAAAAATAAAGAGAACATTAAAAGGCCGTCGTTTTACAAGCATAGATGACATTAAAAGCGAATCGCTGAAAGAGCTAAAAGCTATTACAAAGATCGAGTTTCAAAAGTGTTTCGACGATTGGAAAAAGCGTTGGCATAAGTGTATTGTATCCGAAGGGGACTACTTTGAAGGCGACAACATTAATGTAGATGAATAAATAAATATTTTTTTCATAAAACGAAAATTCTCGTTATTTTTTGAACACACCTCGTATATCCGTAAGAAAGAAAGAATTAATAGTGCATGGCTTCTCCCAAGAGACCCATTAGTCTGAGGTCTATATCCGGAAGTTGTTAAATGATGAATTTTGAATAAGTGTAATAGTGATTCTACAATCTCCGAAAGAAAGCTTGTCCCGCGATCTGACAATATTGCTCTAAGGGCACCGAATTGGCATATTAAGTGTCTGGCTAACACGTCAGCGATAGTGGTTGCTCTAAAATCCTTTATTGGCACTACAATTAAGTATTTGGTCAGATTGCATTGCATGGTCAGCAGGTGAGACTTTCCACTTAGGAGTGGTTCGTAATTTTCCTACGGTGTCTATCGATACCTTGTCGAACGCCTCGATTGGTGTGTCCGTAATCAGCATCGGTTCCTTAGTCTTGTGACGATCAATTTTCTTCTCAAGACAACTCGGACATTTCCGTACGTAATTTAATATGTCCTTTCGTAGTCCTGGCCAATAATATCTTGCTCGAATTTGTTGGTATGTCTGGTTAATACCCTTATGGCCACCCACTAGGCTGTCATGTAGTGTTTTAATTATTTCCAACCGCTGGTTTGCCGGTGGGAGAACCATGTTCCCATAACAAACAATTACTTTTATAGAACTCTTCTCAAAAATTCTTATTAATATTTTTGTTAGTAATCCAGGTCCAAGGTCATCAATATAGTCCCCTCGTCTAGCAATCCGGAAACTTACTATATTTCTTTTAATCAGTATCTTCTTCAAATTTGTAAGTCCGACTTTTATAGCCTCTATAGTAATGGAGTCATTATATCTGTCTTTTATAACTACAGAGAAAATATTATGGTTTTTATATTTGGTTGTTAGTATTTGTCCGACCTTAGGTTTCAAAGATTTCATATTGCGTAGGTCTATAGCCCCAATTTCACTTAATAATTTCGAGATAGCAGTTTGGTTATTACAGTCTCGCGACATAAAATATACAATGTTATCTCGTTGATAGGTTAAACATTGTTGGCTTGTGCTTACATTATTTTGTAAGATATATTTTGCAGGTCCTATTGAAGAATTCCCCGTTTCACTGCTTGAACTTGGGTTCTTATAGTCTTCCGGTCTTCGATATTGGTTAATTGGTCCTGTCGGCGGTAACATGAAGAATAATTCATCATCTACGGGTGTTTTTGAAAAGTGTAATTCCACAGGGCTCTTGTTTCTAGGATCTGACTCTTCGGGTATACTCTCAAGCCCTTCGAATCTTACCATAAGTCGAGGTCCTTTAACCATAGGAGTACTTCTGGCTCCCGGTATTCTTGTCTTAATAGTTGGGGTGACTGATATCTCTCGATATCGTGGCTGCCTTAAGGTTTCTTCAGCTTCCTTAATTCTTTCGTGACTTTCTTCCTTAGTCATATCCGAGAGACGTTGATTTTCATTTTCATCCGGGCGATCTGTGTCCGAGTCACTGTCGCGTTCTAGGTGAGTTTCCATTAATTTTTGCGAATCTTCCGCTAGCTTCGTTATCCTATTCGCCATTACCTCATCAGAATCATTTATTTTATCATACGGATCAAGCCTCCATAGTGTCTCTTGTTGTTCTTGGGGGGGGGGGGGGGGGGCTGGTCTCCATCTGAGAAATAAGAAGGCATTTCTATGGTTCGGTTGTCTCGCGCAAGGCCCATGTCGTCCCAATTCATTATCTAAACTTTTATGTCTTCGCAAACTGGCTTCGAATTTTTCTGCCGATTCTCACACTTCGTTTGCCGATAAACTAGTCCTCTGTGCCGGGGCTCGTTCTTCGCATCTTTTAGTAGAATTTTCATTTTCTGATAATTCATCGTCTTCTCTAGAGTTCCCGCTGGTTTAAGGTCCACTAACTTCTAGCTCTATTCGTTCTGTAAATTCAAATTTATCACTCTGAACTTCATCGCTTGAGTTGTCTCCTTCCGTTTCGGTTTCCTTTCTCAGCCCACTATGTCGCGGATCTTCTATCGAGGGTCTGTCATCCGTACTGTCCTGTAATACCGTACTGTAATAATACAATAAAATTTTCCGTTGTTAATAAAGAAAATAACAATAATAATAATTCCTAACAAGATAATAATTTATTCAAATAATAATTATTAATAAAATACTAATTATTATTATTAATTAATAATATATACCTATCGTTTAGTAATAAAAATAAAAGTAAAAATAATTAAGGGAAATTTTAATAACACATGGTACGGAATAATGCCAAGTATCAATCTCCTATTACAACAGAATAATAAAAAAAATAAATTCGTCTATTTCACAGAAGAAAATTTTTTCAAGCAACATTTAATTAAGTAAAGGAATAATACCGGATAACTCGGATGAATCAAACTAAATTTAGATTTCAATCGGCGAAATGAACTCTGTAATGTGGAAATATTGCGGTCTAGTAGCTCTAGCGCTCAGTCCTGACTGACTAATCTCTGGTCGTTGTTTTCGCCGGTTTATTATATATTCTTTGTCCCTCGCATTCCGTCTCTCTCTCGCACATATGCTTTGATATAAATAATTTAAGTATAATTTACACTTATCGCAAAAATCGGAGTTAAAAGTTATTAACTAATCAAGTTAGTTAATACAATAGCGCAAAATTTACAATAAAATAATAAGAAATTTTCACATATAAAATAGTTTATCGTTTGTAGATATAATTCCAAAAATGAACTACTTAAATTAGTTAATAATAATTGGATAATTGTAACGTCGGATAATTAATAGTACTATTTTTTTTTTTAATTATTTTTTTTCTATTACGAATTCAATGGTTCAAACTGCAATCCTAGAGAGTCTCGTTGAACAACGCCTTCTTCGTTAAAGAGAAAATCGTGGCAATATCCCCTTTCACTTATCAACTTGCTGCTCACAAACTTAGCTTATATCTTTCTCACTGAACTATTTCAATTGCTTGCTCTGTTGTTTCATATAGACTAACAAATTTCTTATTCTGCGTTCATTTTGGCACTTATCTTTTCTAATTCCCTACTCCTCTTTTTTTGCTTTTATATTCATGGATAATTACCATTTTACGATCGACGACCTACTCTAGTCACATTATGAAAACTTTTATTACATACACCTGGCCTAGTACTACAGGCGACGTTCTCTACGCTAAAATCTGCAGAATTAAAAATTTCTCCGCATTATTAAGTTTATAATAATTACTTATCTTTAATATTAGGACAAAAACTACAACTTGCCAGCTAACTCATTAGACAGACATACCTATTTGTTTAAGGTTTGTACTTATTCTTTGTTAATTATCGATTCAGAACTTTCAATACATAATTGTTCTGATGAATCTTCAGCCACTTCTACATCCTTGGCTCTTTCTGATAGAGTTGGTAACATATTTTCGTAAACATGAACCTTTTTAACAGACATTCGAGGTGTTTGCGCCAGTTGCGCTCAAGAAAGAAGAAAGAAGGGCTATGGGTTGTTCTGTCAAATAAGACGTATTTGACAGACATACATTATTAGCTTTTTTCTCTCCTATTTACGCTCCCTTATAAATCGGGTCAACACATGTTGGTTAACAGGCGACACTCGGGTACCCAAGCGTCCGTCTGCCCACGTGTGGCACGTATAGCTCATAAATTTGTGTCTTTGGCTAGACAACAAAGAGTGGGGGTGCCTGTTGCGATACTCTCCCTTACTCGAGCTAATAAGGTCTGAGTGTTTCTTCTACGTTATCAGTAGTTGCTTGGTTTCTTAAGGAGCAACTCAAAACGCAACTCGTGCAGTCTTCAAAGGATACGACGCTAAGTTATGTGTGATCACTGTGGGTGTACTATTTTACATTATTTCTCCGCTCAACAGGACCAGTGACGTTAGTTCGAAGGGTTAAGGACAAGCAGAGGAAGCGCTACTTCCTCTGGGGTGTTCCGGACTCTGCGGCATTGTGCCCTTAATGTGCATCCTCAGGCGAGAGTGGTCACGAGGCTTGTTCCCGTTAGAGCGTCGTTCTCGTCTTGACTGAAAATACTTTCGTCTCTTCTTTCTGGATTCGTAATTCGAGTATCCTGGCAAGTGAGCGATTTTCAATTGATTAGCCATTCAATTATTGTAGGATAGATTTAAGTACTTATTAGTTTGTTATCCGTTAAGTTATTTATTTTTTCGTTCTTTATATGTTATTATAGTATTATTAGTTGTAAACGTGTAAAACTAAACGGCTTTTCCCCCATCTGAGACTGGGGTTTTTTATGCCGGATAGATTTTACTTCCGTGATAATAAATAAAATTTCAGTTTGTTTTCTCCTTTAAAAAAAAATGGTGCCTCGGGTGAGGAGTGTGTGACTGTACAAGTGAAGTTAGGCTTGATTAATCTTTTCATTTAGTTGAACATTTATTTTTATTCAACGTAGTGCGTAGATATTGTCATACGTACATTGTGTTTATTTGTACTTGTTCTTATTAGAATTTTGCGCGATTGTAAATTGTGCAATTTGTACATGTAACTGTGTGCAAGGTCCACCAAGCGTAGATTCCATTTGTAGTACTGACTCTAACTCGTTAGAAAAATGTCGCGAATTCCTTTAATTTGATTCATGACTCGGCAACGGTAGCGTAGCGACGAGATCACGGCGATCAGCACGCGCATGAAAGAGCGCTACCCCGACACGCTCAACAAAACGATCGTGCAAATACGTCTCACCGCCGTGGACGGGCTGTGGAATGAAATCCGTAAAACGCACAATGAAATCGCGTTGTGTGCGGACGCAGAAAGGCATGAATATATTACCGAAAATAAGTTCGACAAAATAGACCAGGTGTATGAGGAGACTCTGGACTGGCTATCGATTGTGATGACGAAGTTTCCAAAAGACATAGAGAGCAATTCTCGTCGACGCGAGCGGAATGAAGACAGTGACGACGACCTACCAGCAAAACTACCCAGGCTCGATCTACCTAGTTTCTCGGGCAACAATTACGAGGATTGGGAGAGCTTCGCAGACATATTTCGAACACTCGTGTACGACGCGCCGCGTATTAAAGAGACTACCAAACTTCAATATCTGAAAACGTGCTTGAAGGACACTGCGGCTGACTTAAACGAAGATGTAACAATTTTGGGCGTGAATTACGCATCTACATAGAAAGCGCTCAAAAATCGGTTCCATAACCCGCGCTTAACCGTTTACAAGTATCTGGATTCCCTCATGCATCTGCCCTATTTAAAGAAAGAGTCTACGGTAGATTTGCACGCGTTCGTTGACCAAACACAGAGAATTGTGCGTGCGCTGATTAGCCTACGTGACCCGGTGTCACACTGGGATATGTGGCTTATACACAAGCTAAAGAGCAGACTAGACCTGTAGTCCAGGAAATTCTGGGAAGCAGAGTTAGCTGAGAGAGATAGATAATTAGCCGCTAATGCGACATCTGATGAGAGCAATGACGAGGCGCGTTTTCCCAAGTTAGATGATTTAACGTCTTTTTTTGAAAGGCGTTAAACCAATTTAAACTCTAATTCGTATAGGGTTCTTCGTGTGCAAAATGGACAGCCAGCCAATACAGGAAATTGCGCGCTCTGCTCAGGTGATCACTATATCGCGCGTTGTCCTACTTTTAAAAAAAAGAAAAAGGAGTCTGAACGTATGTCTATCGTACGTCATTTGAGGTTGTGCTTCTATTGCTTTGGCAAGCACAAGTTAAAGAATTGTTGGTCAACCTATACCTGTGAGCACTGCCACAAGAAACACCACTCTTTACTCTACCGCGGACCCATAGACGGCGTATTAGACGTGGCTACCAAGAACAACGCGCAAGCCACTATCATTGAACACGCGAAGCAGATAAAGTCGAATCTTGTGCAAAAGAACTTCGGATCCCGATTATCTATAAACGCATATAGCACGCGTATCAATGAAGGTCAGTGTTCAATTCTACTCGCTACAGCACAAGTGATCATTGTAGGCTCGCGTGGACAACAAACTCGCGCGCGCGCACTCCTAGATCAAGGGTAAGAAGGTACGTTCTAGCTACGTTCATATTCGAGTCAGTAGTCCAACTTTTCGGACTCAAAAAGGACCGTGTACAAATGAATTTAACCGGTGTCGGAGGTTGCGAGGCCGGTATTGTCAAGCAGGCTACCAGCTTTACGTTGCAGTCGCGCATTGACTCAGACTTTAACCTTGAAGTCAACGCTTTTGTATTGCCGTGACCAACGTCAGAATTGCCGTCCCGTAATGATTTTGGATATCGGATTATTTAAAAATCTCACAATAGCTGATCTCGAGTTTAGCCGGATTGATAGAGTCGACGTAATGATAGGCGCTGACATTTATGGTCAGATACTTCGCTCGGATCTTGCCACTTTTCCTCATACTTTACTAGTAGCGCAAAACACTGCCTTTGGATGGATTGTCTCAAGACCCACACAAGGCAGCATGTCACGACGGGGGGTAATTTGTAATCACGCGACTGTAAGAGCTGTGCGTTGCACGATTAATAATGATTTGAGTGAAGTTTTCCAGCGTTTTGGACACTTGAGGAAGTTCTGAACGCAAGCAAGCAGCTAAAACTGGACGAAGAAGCTGGCGAAAAATTATTTATCGAAACGCATACGCGTAATGCCGATGGACATTTCAAGGTGCGACTTCCATTGGCTGCTGAGCTACCGAGTGACGCCGCCGAAACGCGAAGGATGGCTTTTAGTTCTCTCAAACACCAACAACAAAGGTTCTCGCGTGATCCGAAATTAGCGCATGCGTACATAGATTTCATGCAAACTTATATCGAGCTCGGTCACACGGTACCTGTTCCAAAAGATGAGTTAAATTAATAATATGCAAGCGTGGTATTTACCTCATCACACTGTTCTTAGCAACATCGGTGAGAAAACAAAGATCCGCGTCGTGTTCGATGCCTCCCGCAAAACACACGAAAGACATTGACTTAATGATTTTCTCATGATAGGACCCCCCTTCAAACCGATCTGTCACTAGTTATTTTAAATTGGCGTAGATATCGCTACGCGTTTACAGCGGACTTCGTGAAAATGTTCCGACAGATACGCGTTGCACTTGAAGATCACGTTCTACAACGTATCTTGTGGTTGCCTTTACCGAGAATACCTCCCATTGATTATCGTCTAACGATGCCACCTATGGCACAGCTTCCGCGCCCTATCTTGCCATACGCACCCTCTTGCAGTTAGCACGTGATGAAAGGCCTTAATTTCCGCTTGGCACGATTTGTTTAAATTAGCACATTTATGTAGACGATACGTTTGCAGGAGCTGAGGATCTTGAAACTGCAGTGCGCATTCGGGACGAATTGGTAGGCATTCTGAGATCGGCGCGTATTGAGTTGGACAAATGGGCAAACATTCTGATTTATTACCTTCGCGTGGGAAAATTGAGAAAAATGATACGATCAAAAATCAACAGCGACAGCGCCGTAAAAACACTTGGAGTGCATTGGAACCCGTCGTCCGATGAGTTTCACTTCAGCGCATCAAATTGCGAACAGAAAGTAGGGGAAATAACTAAACGGTCAGTTTGTTCGGAAATCGCGCGTCTGTTTGACCCATTAGGTTGGCTTGCTCCGGTCACAGTAACCGCTAAAATTATTATGCAAGATCTCTGGATCGAAAAGTGCCGGTGGGACGAGCCACTACTTGGTGAGACTCGTGAGAAATGGCGGCGCTATTGTCAGTCGCTCTCAGCTCTATCAATAAGTCGTTGGCTCGGTTTATCGTAAAATAAGTCATTTGAATTACACGGTTTTTCTGATGACATCTTCTCGCGCTTACGCCGCTGTCATTTATCTTCGCATTGACGATAGCAATGGCAAATATCGTGTTACGTTAGTGAGCACAAAATCAAAGGTTTCGCCGATTAAAACGGTAAGCATCCCCATTTTCGAGATATGCGGGGCCATACTACTCGTAAAACTCGTACGCCATCTACAAAAATTAAAATTCTTGCAAAATGTAACGGTTTATTTATGGTCCGACAGCCAGATCGTGCTGACGTGATTAAACAAACACCCGTGTCATTGGAAGACCTTTCGCAAACCGTGTGTCATTAATATAAACAAAGCTGCCTTCTGCCTCTTGGGCTCATGTCCCGACAAAGTAGAATTCAGCCGACTTAGTCTCTCGCGGTGTTTCACCTACCAAATTGAAAACGACTGATTTATGGTGGCATGGACCCGCGTGGTTAGTCTCTCCTTCTCAAAATTAACCTCGTTCGCCAAAAGTTACACAAGTGCTAAGCCTTGCTGTTCACTCGAGAGAACACGAACCAGAGATCGTCTCAAGATACTCAACTTCAGGCAAACTGACACGTGTGACAGCGTGGTACTTGCGACCATTGCTTCAGCATATACGACGAAAGGCTGGGTAGGGCTCTTATCCTAGCTTTCTTACAAGTGAGGATCTAGATGATGCTCGAAACATACTCGTAAAAATGGCACGATCATACGCATTTCCGGAAGAGATCGGTGCGCTACGAACGGGACCCGCATTGACGAAACGAAGCCTACTGTATAAATTAAGGTCACGATGAAATTTTGCGGCTTGGGGGGAGTAATGCGAAGTTGCCGTATCACATCATGTATCCGTCTATCTTGTCGCGCGTATCCTCGCTCAGTCGTTTAATTGTCTTACATGCTCATAGTAAAGCGCTTCATGGTGGACCTATATTAACTATTAGTATCCTCATGCGATCCGCGTGGATTATCGGTATGCGTTCGTTAATCAAAAGTGCGATTCATATATGCGCGATTCATAAATGCATAAATGTGCGATTCATCTGGAACTTTTAAGCGATCTAAAATCGGCAACGTTCATCGCTGCATTTCGCCGATTCGTAAGCAGTCGAGGTCTCTGCAAACATCTCTACAGCGATAATGCAACAACCTATCGTGGAGCAGATGCCGAACTTCGTGCCATGTTTCAGGTTGTGACTGTATTTTACAAGGAATCCGCTGCTGTATTAGCCGACGAAGGCACCTCGTGGGATTTCATACCACCAACCACTCCACACTATGGGGGGCTGTGGGAGGCTGAGGTGAAGTCTACAAAGTCACTTCTGAAGAAACTGGTCGGAGAGCATACCCTCACGTTCGAAGAGATGTCCAATATCCTAGCAGAGATTGAAGCGTGCCTTAACTCTCGACCACTCTGTCCATTAACATCCAATCCAGAAGATTTGCAAGCATTAACACCCGCTCATTTTCTTATCGATGGAGCGTCAGCGGTCATTCCAGATGAACCGACTCCATACGTTCCTGAGAATCGTCTCGACCACTTCCAGTTGATGCAACGTATTCGCGATCAATTTTGGAAGCGTTGGTCGAACGAATACATCCTGCAGCTTCAAGAGAGAAGTAAATGGCGGAAGCTGACCGAGAACTTCGCCGTGGGACAGCTGGTGTTATTGAAAGATGATCGCTATCCAATTTCGAAGTGACCATTAGGACGAGTGATCGAGCTTCATCCTAGTAAGGATGATCTCGTCTCTTATAATCGTAATTTATCTTTTATCGCCGGAAAGGTATATTTATTTTCATCGTCAAGGATAAAAATTCTCGGTTGTTCATTTAGATAGTGCTTCTAGATCTTTAAACGCGAAAAACATTTCTTGTGTATCAAACACGTACAATGGTCGCTTTCGCTACTCCCTTCCATGAACTTTTCTACGTATCCGGTATAAAGTTCTGTGAACTTGTTCTCCTGACACTCGTGCATGGGAATTGGGTCCCAAAAAGCGTAACCTAGAACTTTATCAACGCACTTATCGTCACTAAATTTGCAAACAGTACCTGTTGATAACATGATTTTATTATTGTCTAATAATACCGTTTCCCAATGTTCCTGCAACAAAATTTTAACATAACCTGTCACAAAAATTTCTTGAATTCGCCATACGGGTCATTATAATAGCCCGCGTTACTGCATTCATCCGTACTACCAGCTGATCCTGCGAAAGTTGTAGCGTGTACTACTGAACTATTCACTACTAAGGATTGAAAGAGGCAATCTCCTACAAATATTGATCTGTGTACGTGCATTATTTCGCATTCATCCCTCGATGTTTCGCGTAAAAATGTTATTCTTCCTAATCCAATTTCTATATTATGATTATTG